TTGCTTGTTACCATTTTATTATTTTTCTCTGAAACCTAAATTAACTTTAATTTATAGTACCATACAAAGAATTCAGAATTTAGACTAATCATCTTCTATATAATACATAATAGATTTTTATCCAGCTGGCCTCAGGGAATTATCCGGCAACACACATGCCACTTGTAGCTTGTCAAAGGTTTTGATGTATTTTCTTAAACAACTTTATATCTAGACCAAAGGTTCCAAAAGTAGGGGTCAGGACCCCTGGGGGTCGTGAGATGGCTCTCCCAATCCCAGAGTGATTCCTGAGATAGATAGAGGGCCAAAATATATCTTAAAATCATAAATGTCACATAAAATTAGTAGATGAAACAAAACATATTTATATATTAATCAAAAAAATATTTAAATATAACATTATGTTGTAAAATGCACAAAGGAGTAATTAAATTTCTAATTAAATATAACATTTAAAATTATGACCTGGATGATTAAATATAATTTAAAACTGATTTAGATAAAATTCAACATTATTAATTAACTTTATACATATTAATAAATTTAAAGTAATTATATTTATTTATTTTAGGTGTTCTCCAGTCTGTTGTTTTGTTATTTTTGGGGGCACATTCTGATATGTTTGGGAACCCTTGCTCTAGAGATAGAGAAAACTAAATAAACAAAAGGGATCTTAATGGTTACTGGAATACATAGGCAGCATCAGTGGTGTCAAAAGTACACACATTTGTTACTTAAGTAGAAGTATAGATACTGCAGTTTAAAAACACTCTGATAAAAGTTAAGGTATCATGTTTGACTTCTTAAGTAAAAGTGAAAAAGTATGTGCTCCAAAAACTACTTAAAGTATAAAAGTATAAAGTAACCTTTAAAAAAAAAAAAAAAACAGCCAGATGTCCCTATATAAACTGAAAGCTCAATGTTTCGACTATTTCGAAAAACTCTTTGAGATAGGGCCAAGGATGAGAGAGGTCTTGTTGGACTCCATCTCCCAATACGCTCTCGCCTATGTCCGAGCTTTCAGCATCTTTTTCTGAATCCACAGTGTAGCATGGCATAGACAATTCACGTTTGCAGTTTGAAGAACACCTGCTCGCTTCTGATTATTTCCTTTAGCTAACCAATGAGTGTTTGTGCTATATGACTCATCCAATTACACCAGTTCTCACTTGATGTGGATAGCACCAATGACCTCCATTGGACGGCTCATATGACGCGGAATAAATATTTATAAACATTAAACCGAAGCCAAGAGTAACGAGTAACATTTGTTTAAAAAAATGTAAGGAATCGAAGTCAGAAGTAGGAAGAAAAATAACTAAAGTATAGTAAAGTATAGATACCTAAAAACTGTAGTTAAGTGCAGTAAAAAAGTATTTGTACTTCGTTACTAGACACCTCTAGGCAGCATAAAAAACAAAAACATTGCTATTCCATTATAACTGCCAGACTGACAATCTTCTGAACACATGAAGACAAGGAAGTAGTCATCAGGCAGCAGGGGAATAATAAAATAATCTTGTATCAATTTCATTTAGGGAAACATGGATGCTCATCCTGTATAACAGACTATCGATGGCTGCATCTAAACTAACTTTGTTCCAGAGTCTAATCCATTTTTTCCTGGGATACATATACATAATTTCATTCGTCCGCATTTAGTGCTGCATTTAGTACTGGCTGATGCACAGCTGACAAGTAAACAACAAAACTCCAAACTAAAGGGGCTACAGTTTGAGCCTTTTACTTTGAGAAATCACACAGTGATACAATAAAAGAAACAGCAGGAAGTCAAGAAACATGTTCAAATTAGCATAAAGACTGCATTAAAACTGTTTAAATGTGAGCTTTTTTATACTGCAGTGTTTGCTTGACTGCTGTAAAAGGTGTGGGTGGTCAGGTACATTTAGTTATAGTACTGATATAACATTTAAGCGGCCTCAATCCTCTGTATACGTATCCAAACGCCTTGTCATAAACCGATTTTGTACACAACGCTCCTTATGTATCTGATCCACTGTGCCATGGATAACTTAGTCGATGCTAGGCAGTTACGCAACACAAAGCTGAGGAATGCGACTCACGTCAGCGCATAAAAACAGCGATCAGCAGCCGATGGATCCGCCGCTAGCCTCTCTAACGATCAGGGCAGTGATTCGTTTTCCTTCACTGCCGCTTGTAAACACACACAGCCGTGACATGCAACCTATGGGAAGGGGGGGGGATATATATGAGAGGATGTCACCGGCTAATCATTCACAGTAATAGATGACTCATGTTATCCTTTTGCGGATAACCTTCTAAACGAAAACACATCCGAAGCCGAGCTTGATTTGACGTTAGCGTAAAGCTACGCTGGACAAAAACAAAAACCGAGGGAGTGGCACGGCGTGTAAACGATAGCTGCAGAAAGCGGATTAGCGAACTAACCGCATCCAACCAACACGTATATGATAAAGCGATCTGTTCCCATTATTTACATCTCCAATAAGCCCTTAAATCCTGCATGTTGAGACCAGCTATGAATACTAATATTTAAACGTAAAATATATATTCTTATTTATTTATTTATTTATTTCTACATATTAAATCATCTCTGCTCCCTTTCTTTCCAAGTGGAAAAAAAACCTCAAATCTGCCGAGGGGAACAGAGCAATAACTTTCTGTTAGCAGGCGGATAGCAGTAAATCTGGCTGGCTAGCTCGGATGCTAATAGGGGTTGAAAAGAAAACAAGCCTCCAACTGTTACCAACTAAGTCACCA